ATATAGAAAAATAAAAACATTAATGATATCATGTGAAAAATTGAAAAATAAAATATCAAAAATATACAAATATAATAAAAGTGAGATTCTCATTAATCATTAATTTGATCTAATTAAATAAGTTTGACCAAGGCAGAATTATTTATCACAGAAATTATGGAAATACAAATCGTTTTTTACTCATGCAATTTAATAATATTTATAACCAAATTAATCATAATATAATGTAAATAAATAAAATTGACTATCACAATTATTTTGGAGCTGAAATCATGGATACAGACACGTTTTTAGAACCTATAAATACTAAAACATTTTTCAATTTCTAATCACTCCATTTCTTAAACAACTATCCCCCTCATTTCAGTTTTTCAGCCACATAAAATTCATTTAAAAAATGTCTTCCTATTTTGATAATCTAACTTATCTTGCCAAAAACAAAACTAAAACTGCTATTCTGAGATTAATAAGGTTTTATCCCAAGAAAAGAGATTCAAGTTTAGAATTTGTCTTTCATGATGTCAAGGTACACATCATGTTTTTTACTTTATTAATTATTTGATATATATTCTGTTATTATTTTTTTTATACACCAATACATGATTTTTAATTATTTTTTTTTTATTTTTTTTTCAGGGCGAGAGAATCCATGCGTCCGCACCCGACGTATTGGTTGAAAATTTTGGACTCTTGATCAATGGTGAAGGCAAGACATATGGAATAAAGAACTTCTTAGTTGAAGCTGATAACAATATCTTCAAAACAACTCCCAAAAACGAGCAGCTTTCGTTCAACGAGAAAACTGAAATTAAGGAGGTATATGATGAAGATTACCCAAGGTTCATGTTTAATTTCATGGATTTTGGTGATCTAGCAGATCCATCTTGCATAGACTCCTCAAGGCTAATAGGTAACATATATATACTTTAAAAATTTATTTATTTAGTCTTTTCTTGCACTAAATTATTTCTAAAGATACGTATATATGGAATTGTAGATGTTATTGGCCGAGTTGTGTTCTTTCATAGCGTTCAAAAAGCTATGTCGAGAGGGGTAGAGAAGAGATTTATAGACATTCTTCTAGAAGATTTTCGGTAAGTGTAAATTTCCGAATTTTGCTATATATTTTAATTATCTAAATATTAAAAAATCTTTATGTAATGTTCCTATTTTTATTATCTTAGTGGCTGCCAATTGCTTTGTACCCTATGGGAAGAATATGTGGATGTTTTGCTCGAGGCAATGAAGCAGTCCACTGCGGGAGAGGACAAAGTTATAATACTTCAAATGTGCCGAGCGAAATCCATGAATGATGGTATATTTTTTTTAAATTAATTTAAATACGTTATTAATTAAAATTTCATATACAACTTAATTCTATTGAATAATTTAATAGGATCTGTGAGAATTGCCAATGCTTATGATGCAACCAAGATGATTGCTAAATTTGATGTACCGGAAATTATTGAGTTCAAGGAGAGGTGAACTTTAAATATTTGTTACAAACATAGTGTTTAGTACACATATGTCTATTTTATCTCATTATTTTCTTTTTTTTAATTAGGTACAAGTCCCACAAACGCTCAAATGAGTTACCTAGCCCATACATTAGGTCTTTCATGTCGAGCGTATGCGATGACTTGCAATCAGGCTCAGCTCCAATTGGAACCATTGCTGAATTTCATGATTTGAATGAGGCAATTGTCTTCAAACTTTTGACTTTAATTGGATATACTTAGGCGTTTTGCCCATATTCATATTTGTTTTAATTTTTTTTTTTCCAGCCAAAAATGTCTTGGATCTACGGGACGATCCTTGACGTTGATCTAAGGTGGTATTTTAATTCATGTCCGACCTGCGTTAGAAAGGTCGAACCGCAAGGGGCGAATTTTTGGTGCTTCCATTGCAAAGAAGAAGTACCATTTGCAAATACTCGGTATTCATACATTATTTAAGTAAATTATTTTTTATTTTTTTTTGTATGTAATTATACTATAGATTTTTAATTAAATAATTTACACAATTAAAAGGTACAAACTGCACATGTTCATTGTGGACGACACTGGAATAATGCAAGTTCTTTGCTGGGACAAAATAGCAAATGAACTCATTGGAAAATCGTGTGAAGAAGTATTGCAAGACATGTTGAAGGTTTGAATAATAATATACTTTTAATATATTAATATTGTTTTATAGTAAAACAGTTGTTTATTATTTAACAAAAAATAAACAAAATTGCAGCATGACGATGGTTCCGATTTGCCAATAGAACTGTCGGCTTTGAAGGACAAAGCACTTTTATTCAAAGTTGGGAAGAAGAAGGATCAGCTAAAACCTTACAATGGAGCATTCATTGTTTCCAGAATCACTGCTGATCCAATATTAGTGAACAGATTTGGAGGTTTAGAAAATGCTCAACAGGTAGATGTTTAATTATTTAAATAATGTTTTAACATGGATAAACAAATTATTATTTATGCAGCAGGGTATAATTAATTGCTCTCAATGAACAGGAATTTGATTTTGCACAAGGTGAATTAAGCATTTCATACAAGCCAAAATCTGAAGTTGTGGATGATTCAGCTAAAAGTGGATCAAAGAAAAAGCTGTCTGATGAAGTTACAAGTATTGATGAAGACAGCAAAGGAAAGAAGAAAATAAAGATTGAAGGACTCTAGAAGATGATTCTAAGGATGAATTTTTTTGATATTTATGGAATTTCTTACCTATTCTGAATTCAATGATGCCTTTAAGGCTTAATAAAATTTCAGTTTTAATTCTGAATTATGTTTGTTATATTCAAATGGTTCATATTATATTCAGTTATCTAACAAAATATTCAATTGTTACAATAAAAACTTATTTCTAATCAGCCAAAACAGAAGTATGGGAATTTGAATCATTCAAATAATGCAATTGCATGAATAACCAATCAGCAATAAACCAATTTCTGGAGCATATAACTTATTTCACCAACAATTCAAAAACATTCAATCAAACAAAAATGCATGATACTGAGATGCAGCATAATAAAAATACAGAATCTTGGCATCCACAAAAACATACATGTTCCTGTTCAGCAGAAAAAGAGAACACAGGAGCAAAGGGATAAACAAAAGGCAAAAAAAAAAAGAAAGAATGACAAAAACATACTGACAGTTATAGAAAAAGTTACTCAGTACAAATAAAACATAGATCAATTTCAGAAAAAATGTACTCAGTCCATAGAAAAGCATATTCTCAGTCCAATCATATACCAACAGTATTAAAAATCTCTATACCTAATCATTCAATCACATAAAATTTCTTTGGTTTTATCATACTCGGATTTAACATAATCAATCATTCAATCATTCAGTCATATACCAACAATATAACATAAAACTCTTTGGTTATATCATACTCATTTAAAAAAAAAAAAACAATCAATCATATACCAACAGTATCAACAAACTCAGTTTTGGTCATAAGAACAGAACTCTTCATATAACATTCATAAAATGGGACAGTATACCAAAATTGTTCAGTTGAATTCAAAATCTGTACATGCATTAATCAATGTTTTTGTCATTAAATATATATAATAATATAATTAAAAAAATAGAAACTAACTAATTGCATTAATAACACAAAATCAATCAATTAAATACATTGAAATCAAACTCTGCAAATAACCAATAGCATTAATAACAGAAAATCAATTTGGCATAAATCATGTTAAAATAACAGAAAATCAATTTGGCATAAATCATGTTAGAATACTGATTATTTGTTGACTGACATTAACTAAAAATTTATTATTTTGGTAGTAGAATATGTTCAGTAGGAAAAATATATCATATCAATCAATCAACATTTATTACAATTAAATCCTAAAAATACATTTATTCAGGTTTTAGAGATACTAAATTTTCCTATATAAACTGTCAGTCTCTAACTCATTCCAAGTTTCCCTAAAACATACATCCTATTATCTTTCACATATATCTCAGTTTTATGCCATTTTACCACAATATTCAGTTTTCTTATTCTCATGAGATATATTCAATCTCCATAAGCATACATCCTATTCAGTTTTCTTAAACCCAAACATCACAATAGCATGAAGAGGTTGACAGACTACAACAAAGTTGGAAACAAACGTCAGAAGGAAGATGTTTCCCCACAATATGGTACACAATGACATTTGTGACCTATGCTTAATATGAAATTTATCCAGAAGATTAATACCTTTTATTTTTTTGCTCTTACCGTGTATTGCAAATGTATATGTGTTTTGTCCCGACATTGTACAGCCCATTGCAAGTACTTTTGTTATTTGTTATTACAGATGGTTTGATCTGCAAGACAATAATGTGAAACTGTTAGATTATATAATATATCATTAGAAATATGAAAAATCTTGAAAACATAGGAAATGCGACAGAATACTTATCTGTGTATTCATTCTCGCGTTGTATATCGAACATTACTTATTCTGTTACAACATGTGCTCTCTGTCTGCGAAAACAAAATAACATATGTTAGAACATATCATATCTGCCCAGAGATATAAAAATATTCAAGAAGAATATGCTAAAATCAAACTTATCTTTTATGTTTACAATCTGGTCGGCTCTTATCAATTTTATTATAACTGCAAAAAATTATATT